AGAAAGTGCTCGCTGCCTTCCAGCCCCTTCTTCCCCAGGCCCCGGGTCAGGGTGCCCCCTCTGAGGCTGTGCCCCGCCCCCACCCAGCAGGCTGGGATGTACGTTTACTGAACTGAATCCAGCGTGTGGCTTCTTATCTCATGCAAACAGACACCCCCAGATTCTCCACCAGGGGTCGCGGTGTGTCAGGGGTGCTCAGCCCCTCCTTTGGTGATGGGGAAGCGGACGCTGAGCCAGGGGTGCTGAGGGGCTGAGGGTGCCCGCAGCAGGTCCGGGCAGAGCCGGCCCCAGAGGCCCAGCCTGGGTCCCGGCCCGTAGTGTCTCTCTGGACTCTCAGCCCCAGGGAGCAGCTCAGCCTTCCAGGAGCATGGCACGCTGCCGGGCACCCAGTGGGTCCTCAGCGCAGACCCTGGTGCTGCTGGGCAAGGGGCGTGGCCACCAGCATAACGGAGAAGCGATGCCTGGGTCCCCAGCTCTGGGGTGGCAGCTTCCCGGCCCCAGGCAGAGCCGTCCTCACCCTGAGCCCTGCCCTGCCGTCCAGCCCCGACTCTTGCTAACTCCTCCCCTTCCCACTCACCACTGGCAGGAGCGGGTTTTGACGAGGCCAGGCGTGACCCCGGGCAGGCTGCTCCCCTCTCTGGCACCGGAAGGGAGGGTGACTGTAGGGTGTGCACAGGCCCCACACTGGGCTGGGCCCAGGTAGGCCAGGCTGATGTCCCATTTTACAGAGGGAAACACTGAGGGCAGCCCAGACAGTTTAAGGGATTTGCCTGAGGTCACAGGGAGTCCGTGGGAAGCCAGGAATGAGCCAAGCCCTGTCTGCTGCCAGTTGCCCAGGGAGTGGATGAGAAGTTCTAGAACCTAAAGCACAGGGTGTGGACTGGCGCAGGCCTCCCAGCCCCCCGGCTGGCACTCGGCCTGGGGAGGAAAGGCTGGGAAGCCTGCTTGGTGGCGGGGGCCCAAACTGGCCTGACTGAGGTGGCAGAGCGGAGGGCTCACCTGTCTGGGGACCCAAGGCCAAGGCAGAGGTGAGAGCACAGGACCCTGGCAGCTGGGGCAGGAGCTGAGGGGGCACCGACAGTGGACGGGCACCTGGGAGGCTCCCACAGTCAGGGCAGCTTCTGGGTGCGGGAGGAGTTTGGATGGAAATGTGTTCCCTGGCGCCCGGGGGCTGGGAGGGCAGGGCTGCAGGTGTGAGCCAGGCTGCCCCCCCCCCCTTGCCTCCCCTCCCATCTTCCCTTCAATTGAGTGATGAGGGGCTGGTACCGGATCCACCCCAGGACTTTTGGTGACCCCGGGTTTGCACACAGCAGGTTCTTGGGAATGCGCAGTGAGGCCCAGCCTCTCACCGGGCCCTGGTTTCTCTTTCAGAGCTTCCAGAACAGCAGCCAGAGCAGCGATGGCCCCGCCCTGGGTGCCCGCCGTGGGCTTCACGCTGGCGCCCAGCCTGGGGGGCTTCCTGAGCTCCTACCACGTCCGCGGAGAGGGCCTCCGCTGGTATGCCAGCCTGCAGAAGCCCTCGTGGCACCCGCCCCGATGGACGCTGGGCCCCATCTGGGGCACGCTCTACTCGGCCATG